AAGAAATATCTGGTTTGGCAAGCCATCTGTACCTGTGGCTTGAAAAGCAGCATTTTCATAGCTTCCGGGACTGTCAACCAAGAAATTTACGTGAAAGAGTGTTTGAATAAACGTCTGCTGCCTTTCCTGAAGAAACACGGTTGTTCCGTACTGTTTTGGCCGGATTTGGCATCTTGCCATTACGGTAAAAAGGCCATGGAGTGGTACGCCGCCAACAACGTGCAGGTGGTTCCCAAGGACAAGAACCCTCCCAACACGCCAGAGCTCCGCCCAATTGAGAAATACTGGGCTATTGTCAAGCGGAACCTAAAGAAGACCAAAAAAACTGCTAAGGGCGAGCAGCAGTTCAAGGCAAACTGGCTTTCTGCGGCGAAGAAGGAGGACAAGGTGGCTGTACAAAATCTGATGGCAGGGGTCAAGCGTAAGGCCCGGCAATTCGGATTTGGAAAAGCGGAATCCTAACTGAATATTTTTCCTGAATTTTATACTAATTGAACTTGAAAAAGAAATTTAATTTGATTTTTTAAATAAACGATTTCACCGATTTACACGCGTTTTCCCTTGACCAAATTTTGACCGTATCACCCTTTAGATAGATTATGGAGAGAAATTCTAGCAAATTATGAGAATACAAGGATAATTGTAGAGTTAATTCAAGAGTTTTGTGGTTTTCTACCAATAATCTCGAGAATGTCTTTGAGAAAATTTTAAAGGAATACCGAAGAGAATCATAGAAAGTAACTGAAACATTTTGGGATGATTCTAGTATACGATATTACATTTTGATGAATTTTCTCAATGTGGCTCTCTTGGTCGATTTCAGGAAGTTGTGACACTTTTCGGTGAGCTCTCAGCGGTGTCAAAGTTTTCAGAATCACGGATGCTTTCACAATCTGAGCCGATGCTACGATGATCGGCTTTCCGAAAATCATATGACACCGCATTATTATGAAACTAACGTAAATTATTCCTTCACAGGGTTTTAGTTCATGGTACATTATTTTTTATCTTTCAAAATATTCTATCGATGAAAAATTGAAAAAATATCATATTATTAGATTTAATTACGAATTAGGCAAAACTCGTATTTCATCGTCATCAAATATGTGAAAATTATGTATGAGGGGTTTGTACAGAACAAAATTCAACACAATGTCTTCAACCATTTCATTGTACCATCTGCAATATATACGGCACCAAAGGAAATAGAACACAGTTCGAAAAATTAGTGTTAATTTCTGTTCAATATGATGCACATAAAGGTAGCGTAACATATCATACAAGTTTACATTATGTATCGCTCACCCCAGCAGGCCTGGGTTCAATCCCAGTCGGCGCCGCCGGGATGTTCTGAGGCATAACATCTCTGATCACGCCTTCCTTCGGATGGGAAGTAAAGCCGTTGGTCCCCGGTTCATGAGTTGATGGGTCGATAGGTAGGGTCCAGGTGTGGGAGCTGCCTTCCTGGCACGTCGGTAGCATTGGTGCTCAGCACGGAAAACAAGATCGACGGAAAAAACAAACCAAAGGAAAAAAAAAAAAATACATTATGTATCGTGTAAAGTTCTGAGAAATTTAATGAAATGATGCAAATATTGTATGCAATCGTCCATCTTTGTAAGCAACATTTCTTGCAAGTTGCTGGTATGCGTGAAATTAAATACAAGTTTACGCGCACCAATGTTTACATCACAAGCAAAATGTTTTGCTTAGTAGAAATTATAGTGGTGTGGGAAATTCTACCATCCCATCCATTACTTCGGTACGTTATGTACTACAGATAGTGATATTACATGTTTGAAGAAATTGCAGCTTATCTAATTCTCTACAAACTACCATAAAGCAAGCAACTTGTTAGGGTTTATTAAAAGGTTTAGTTTTCATTTCAATGATCCATTAACAATCAAAACATTATACGTAGCATATGTTAAGCCCCTCCTTGCGTACTGTATTATAGTCTGTGCTCCATATCTAGATACATACTTATATAAATCGCATTGAATCAGTTCAAAAACAGTTTCTATTATTTGCTCTAAAAAAGTTAGGCTGGACAAGTTTACCCTCACCATCTTATGAATCTCGATGTATGTTGATTAAATTGGATGCACTTGAAAAGCGAAGGCAGTTTATAAACGATGTTGTAGCACAAAGAGTGAATGCTACAGAGATTTTAAAAAATCTCAATTTTTATGCTCCCACTCGTTCGTTAAGAAACAGAAATATTTTTTATATTAACAACCCCGTAACGTGGGTAGATCACCTTTTCGTGGTACGTGGTAGATCTACAACCGATTCTTAGTACTGACTACTTCAAACTAGGGGAACAGGATTTTTCAGTAATTCAAGGAATACATCTTAGTCCTTGTTACTTTTTATGCCTTGTTGATAGTGACAAGACTCGACTTTGTCCACCGAGGATGATCTTGAAACAAGGAAAAAAATAGTTAGTTAGTCTTTATTTATGTGATTCCTAATCTTCTATTCGTTGTTACCTAGTTTGAAGTGGTTAAGACTAGGGTTCTGATGCATGGTCATTATCGGTGTCATTGTTTAATTTTGTTGCAGAACATTGTAAAAATAGCCAGAGATTGTAACGCGCATCTTGTATCGAAAGTTATTCGTGAGAAGTTATCCGCGGAAACTGATAATCTTAACTCGGTAGGAAGTGTTGGCGCGAAACTCTGATTTGGATCTAAGTATGAAAAAGGTAAAACTTCAGTCTTATTTTCACATGACAACTTAGTTAAATGCAATTTTATTATCAGACGATCAAGTAAGCTAAGAATATTCGAAAAGGCAACCGAAAAGCTACTCAACCTGGATTCGGGCCCGCGCTTCGTAACCATGAACTCGACGGTTTCTGCGAACTGAAATTGTTAAGTATGGTGTCCACCAGTGGCGTTTCCTTAACCTCAATCTATCTGTGCACCAACTCTCAAAACATAAACAATTATCAAAATATTGCTTGTGATGGATAGATGTCGAGTAAACTAGAAGATTAAGTGTATTTTTCAACCGATTCGAATATGAATATGGCATTAAATCTGGTTTTGAAAGTTGGTGCACAGGTAAAAAGTGAGGTTACGGGATGCCATTGGTGTCCACGAAAGGGAAGTCCCACTCTTTGACATTATGCCCAGCAGTACTATACAAGCTTGATAATAGCTTGTATCAGCGATCTGTGTGCTGAAATTAGCTGGGAATGTCTGCCGTGAGGAAGCAAAGAGAATCTGTATTAGGACCTAATGTATTGTCGCACGAGGTAAGGCATTATTCCTGGAAATCCCGCTTCTAAATCGACGATTTAAAGCTATTTTTGCGGGTTTTAAGTAATTATGCGGGTGTTTATGACTGTTAATTTTAAGACTGTTTATGACCTTTAATATTGGTGGGTCACGAGATAAAGTTGGTCGAACTCAAAGCAAGTTTGAGAACCGCTAACCTACAGTAAAGTGAACCAAACAAAACAAAAGGGTCCAATGTACACTGATCGATACTCTTCATCTGCTTTCTCTCTTGTGAAAAAAATGCCATCGAACTGTTTGTCATAAATATGTAGCTGGAAATGTCTTTACATGACCGTGCTGCTCAAAAAAAAATCGATGAAGATAATCGATCAATGCACATGGCACCTTTTCTAATGTTCATCGAGATATTGCAACCAAAAAGTACTTATTTTTCAGTTGGATCATAAATAGTTTCGTTACAAGGTCAAACAATACAAAACATTAAACAATCGCATTAAATTCAAACAAACAATCGTATACCTTTTGTTTGGGTTGGTTCTTGTTAGACATAAACTGCTTGAGCCAGGGACTCTGAAATTAACAATTTACTAGCATCATAGGCCTTGTTGTATTGTCCAGCATCTGCTATCCTCAATCTGGGAAACAAATAATGGGAGCGCAATGGAAAGTCAATCAGCCTACGAAGCTCTGCACGCGTTTCTTTGCACAACTCCACCGCTTCAAAGTTCAAACAATAAGACAAAAAGAAGGCGGTCTGAGAAGCAATGCAAACATTGTGCCAAGTTGCGGCTATTTATGGGTTGAATCAACCACGAAAGAGGTCCAACACCTTCTAGCCAAGCCTGCCTCTCACGCAAATTAAAAAAGTCAATCTCATAACCACGAACAGTCCTGTCCCCCTTTCTTACTCGGGACCATCAAAGAAAGAAAATTTACAAATTCCCCTTTCTAACCAGTCTATGTTGTGTTAGGAGGAGAAAGGTTGGAACACATTGAAGGAGAACACTGCTCGTGGGCAGAGACATAGGTACATTAATCGTTCAATACAATGTTGCGAACGCGCCGGTCGGGAGCCTACATAACAACGGAGCACTGCCAACTATGGTTATGAAGGGATATGCTCAAGATCTGCAATCAAATTAATGGAACAGCAATCGGGCGGTCCTGCGTTGCCTGTATTCAATTCCATTGTAATTGATCGTTTTAAACGAAACGGTTTTTCCTTAATTTACTTAACCGATTTGTGTCACCACACAACGGCTACATAGTGCACAACCTGGTGGTGGGTGGTGTCATATTTCTGGAGCGAAAATTACTGTGGCTTCAGTGGTAATCTGAAAGCCTTGACTGTGGTGTGGTGACCTAGTTCTAAATACATGTTGTATGTTGTATCTCAATGGGTAATTTGAATATGTAGCGCAGACTAATGAATAACTGAAGAAGTTTTGACCAAAAATAGATAATTTCGAAACGCAAAAACCGAAACCAAAAACGATTAGTGGTCATATGTGGCGTAAGATGAAAAGTATGGCGAAATATGAGTGTTGTTGATGCATTTGGATTGTGGGGGTGGAAACGCGGTTCCGGAAGGATACATCATAAGGAACGGAAGGTATGTCATAATGAAGGGTGTGCGCATCAAGAAAACGAAACATTTTCCTCCAATGTAGACAAACAATAAAACAGAAAAGGATTAAAGAAGACATCAGAGATTCATTCGAATGGATACAAGCAAGTAAGTATGTGACATACCTTTCTCCGTCCTCTCCGGTTTTTTCGCCATCCTCTCCGCCACTGCCGGCGACAATGGAAGCTGCTGCGGTGATTCCAGCCACGGCCGATAGTAGATTACATTCCGATAGATGATCGGCTGCGGCGGCGGCGGCAGCTGCTATCGAGGCATGATGCTGATGTTGCTGACTGCTGCTACTATTACTGGTAGTTGCTGTGGCCGAATTGCTCGACATGGATGGGGAACTAACAGCAGCCACAGCTGCAGAAGATGGCGTTGAGCTAGCCATTGACGACGGCACAGGGGCAACACCGCTGTTGTCACTATTTACGGCGGTGGCCGTTACTGGAGATGATGTAGCCGATGGCGAGGGAGTTACCAGCGGTTCCGACGAAGCTGCCGGAATAGATGAACCAGCTGATTCTGATTGCTGGGAGGCAAGGTTACCTCCAGTCACTGAGGTGGTAGAAACTGTGCCAGTAGCAGCCATGGAAGAAGATGGCGAAAGAATGGCCGATTCCGAAGAGATCGGTTCACCAATACTGGCCACAACTGGAGAATTTGTTTGAGAGGTTTGTTGGAACTGTTGTGGAGAAGGGAAGCTCGTTTGCTGCGGTTGTTGGTGCTGAGAATTGGCGATGACAATGTTCATTTCCTGTGATGTGGCCGAAGCTGATCCTGTCGGCGGAAGAACGGTAGACGACACGGAAGCTGGACTGTTTGTTTGCTGTGGTTGCATTTGAATGTTGCTCGGCAGAGTGACACCATGTTGATGGTGTTGCTGAAGTTGATGCTGTGGTTGTTGTTGCTGCTGCTGCTGCTGAGTTATGTCCGCCATATTGGACATTGTATGAGGATAGTATGGGGATTGTCCTTGCGGCTGATTAGCAGAAACTGGTACAGACCCATTACCCGCAGCACCCGCCAGGGCATTTTGAAGTTGGGCTTGCGGTAAACTATGCGGCACTGCAGAATGTTGAGCATGACTAGTTTGCTGAGATTGAGGAATAGCTCCACCGCCAGGCGTTCCGATCGAAGTCGGTTGGGTTAGATTAAGACTTTGACCAGGAGATTCATTGTTTAGTAGACCTATGATAGAGTTAGTTGGAACGCTGGCAGCTAGATGAGTATGATAGTCAGAATTGTCGCCATCGACCGTAGCTGGAGCCGTATTTGTTGCGTAATTATCATTCAGCACCACTCCGCTATCCTGAGTTCGGATAGCATTGGAATCGACAACTGTAGACGCAGTTGACGTTTCTCCTTCATTGGAATTTACCGTACCGGCAGCTCCTTCTTTTGGAGAGGCCTGTAGCGTAGTATGGTCCAGGTAATCCATGCATACCCAACGACCACGCTTAAATGGTTCCGTGCTTTCGATTTTCACCACCTTAAATCGTTCATTCCTATGATGTGGGTCTTTCCCGTCGTCCTTGGTATGCCCCATTATGTTGATTCCTGCATCTGTGACGCTAACGTGCATCGCATCAGCTAGACTCTCCGTACCGTGGGCACGATCTGACGGTGCCACGATAGCTAACCCGTATTGAGAGCTAGTCGGAATGACTGGAACACTTCCGATAGCGTTCGAGGCAAAGAATACATCCTCTTTGCTGAACGTATCTTCGGAAAAAGAAGGAGTTTCATTTTCGAAATCCGTTATTCGACTGTTATCGTCCGTGTGGGATTCGTCAAGGTCATCGGCAGAGTCATCCCCATTGTCTGCACTGGTTCGAGCACCCACCGTAACCGATGTGATCATGAATGAGGACGTTTTCCCGGAGCCGGCCGCCGTAGCCGCAGCTATTGCCCTCGAGATACTGTTGGTTGAACCAGACGAGTTCATCAGTGAAGACGGTGGAACCGTGCTGCTTATAGAACTGTCACTTCCTCCACCACCTCCTCCTCCTCCTCCACCGCTACCTCCCCCACCAGATCCAGGGCCACCGCCTAACCGTAAGCTTTCACTTGTGGTTCGGTGGATGACATTTGCATGCTTACTACCGCCCTTACCGGACGGTGCGGATCCTGTCGTTGTGTTGCCACTGCTTCCACCACCAGCAGCCGTCATATCTAGTGATTTATTATGATGCAATGAACTTCCTCCTCCCCCACGACCTGCTGTCTTTGGATGTTGCTGTGACGATGGTAGACTGTTACTGATAGAATTTTCTGCCATACTTTTCTTCTTATTCTTCGGAATTTTCGCTGATTTTCTGGGTAACCGGGTTAAGATCGAAATTCACTCGCGTCGCGATCACACGAATCGCGGTTTTATACTGCGCTACGGATGAACGCACACACACGCACTCGCACGCACACTAGCACTATCACTCGGATGGACACACGCGCACTGGATTTTCCTGCAAAAGAAGAAAAGAAAATACAACGGTTAAAATGGCTGATTAAAGGGAATACAATTTTTTTTAGTGCATATACGGTAACCGCAATGTACCCAATAATGACTATAATAGCACATAATAGACTCGATATTGACTATAAAGTAAGCATTTTCGAGGGAGACTGGGACTACCCATTAAATGAGTAAAAAAATACCCATATATGAGTATTTTTTACTCGCCAATGAATACATACTACTTATTTTTGTAGTTGTAATCTATATATATAAAAATGAATTTCCGTCGGTCTGTCTGTCTGTCTGACCCTTATTGTAATAATAGACTCGGAAACTACTGAACCGATCGGTGTGAAAATCTGTATGCAGGGGTTTTTGGGGCAGAGAAAGGTTTTTATGATGGTTCGAGACCACTCACCCCTCTGTAAAGGGTGGTTGCCATACAAATGAAACAGAAATTTCTGCATAACTCGAGAACTAATCAAGCAAAGGGAAGCAAATTTGGCATGTGAAGGTCATAGAGGTTAGCCCCTTAGATAAGAGGGGGGGGGGGGGGCTAGGTACAATATAGGATGCTTTAAATTGGCACATAAACTCAAGCTAATATTGAATCCTGAGGAAGGCCGGGCACACTCAGCTAGTTACTCATAAATGTTTCCCTCGAAAATGCTTACTTTGTAGTCATTATTGGGTATTTTTCGGTTACCGTGTATGGGATGTTAGCATAGAAAGTCAATGATGGAAGGAAATCTATGAAGAAAATCGATCAACAATGAAAGGCCCTTTTTTAAGGTTAATTCAAGCCGAACAATGGATTAGGTCCTAAGTAACATTGATCGATTCTCTTCATCGACTTGCTCTTTCGTTAATAACTTAGGTACTGAACCGTTTCTTGTCGTGTTTGTCGTATGCAAAGCTAGATAATAGCTTGTGCTGAAAATAGCTGGAATGTTTTAACGTGGCCGTGAGGATGCAAAGAGAAAGTCGACGAAGAGAATCTGTCAATGTTACTAAGGCTCCAATGCAATGTTCAGCTTGAATTGTCGTTGGAAGTATAATAGACGAGTGCACGGATGGATTTGATTTCACTCACTCGTGAAAAAGTGACACAAGCTGTGGGTAATGTTGACTAATCATGAACACTAATGACGGTAAGCTCCACCTCGGATTAACGGTACTACCCTTAATAAACAATTGGCACATCCTCCAATCAGGGATGGTATTAAAAGTTAATTCGAGTTGGAGCTTATCATCACAGACAAACAAACAGAACACATTGAATATTTTTTATTTTTATACGCTGGAGCTGCGTGACAAGCTTTGATTTCAAGACTTGACCTTTGCTGAATCTTGTGTTTAGCTCTGCGACACGTTCGAAGTCTTCACTTAAAACTTCAGCGGCTTTTATTTGATTGAGATTTCTTTTCAGAATTCTTCTAAAATAAATTTAAAATTTTCTTTGGAAGTCCCTTGTCCAACGAATTCTTAAAATTTGTTTATAGATTCCCTTCGTATTTTAAAATCTTTCAAAGAATTCACTGAAGCTTAATTTTTTTTAAACTTACTTGAAATTCTCCGTAGAATTCCCATGCAATTCTCGACGAACAATTGAAAAGGGCCTATTAATTTTTGTGAGCAAAACTTTTAATCCCCCTTCCCAGCCAACACCATCGGGCAGGGGAAATGTTCCTGTCGAGAATTGTTTTCAAAGCTTGCTCAGTATTATCGTGGAGTTCTTTTCAAAATTCTTCTGGAAATTGCATGGAATTCCCATTAAAACTCCCTAGAAAATCCATTCGAAATGCGCTTGGAATTATCCTCTAAATTTTCTTACAGATCTTTGCAGAATTATTTTGGGATTGTACCCTCAAAATTAGATTCCCTTGGTATTTTTCACGAACTCTGGAATCCAAAAGATCTAGTAAAAACTGTCTTATAGGTTTCCCTAAAGCTCCCTACAAAATATTATCTGAAATACCTTGGTGTTATCTTCAGAATTCATAAAATCTGCTCAAATTTTTTTAAAAAAAACATTAAAAAATTCTCTTGATAGTTCTTCAAGGTGACTGTATCCTGAAAATATAGTCCAATCCAAGGGACTGCAAGGGACTGTTTTCGAAGAAAGGACGAGGTTTATTTTTCCAGATTTTTCATAGTTTGGTTTTTTCCCCGGTGACTTCTAATTCTCAGCTTTTTTTAGTTCACTGGTCACTCTGCATTTTACATATGAAACACTTGTTTTTAATCCCATTATATTTGTTTTGCCTTGAGCACATTTTGAGACCCAGCTCAACAAGAAAATTATTCCGGATAGTACGTTAACCAAAAGCTAATTCGCGGCCGGATTCCTCCAGTGGAAAATCGTAAAAAAAGCACTTTCACCTCCAAAATTTTGTAAATCAATTCCATCTAAATTGTAATAGCAGCAACATTACAATACTAAAACTTTACTAAGACTAAAATTTTACGAGCTAAACAGGTTTCCACTGAAGACCTAGAATACTCAATAAAGCCACTGTATGCTGTCAAGGCAATGCTTGTCAACGTACACGGATAGAAATCTCCTTATACCTTTTGGCAAATTTCTATTGCTGATTATTCATAAAATGTATAAGTCAACTAATAAGCAGACGCCTTGCAAAAAGTTAATGAAGATCATGTGTTGGATGAACCAGCCTAAGGCTGAAAGTCTCGTTAATAAAGGAAAAAAAAAAAAAAAAAAAAAGATCATGTGTTGAATGAAATGTATAAGCGGTCACACATACCTTTTCTGCATTCTTATAGGACCTATGTGGTTTGTCTTATGGAATGTATAAGGCTGATGTAATGGCAAAAATGTATAAGTGAAACACATGAATAAAATAATTGATTTTCGTTTCGTGTATATTTGAATCATTCAATCATAAAAGTGCTACTCCAAACAATAAAAAATCCTCCCAAGCAAGACCATTATCCTAAAGCTAATCAAGCTGTTAAGGAACAATAACTAGAAGTATTCAAAAAAAAATCATCACCTTCTCTCAAAGCTGGGTTTAGACAACACAAGGCAAGTCAAAAGATCAACTCAGTTGAAACCATACCATTCAACTGACTTTATCAACTCACTCGAATTGAAAAAAGTTGAACCAGGCTCAACTCTTCAAGCCAATTGAAGTCAACTGAGTTGATCAATGACTTGCTATGTCTAAACCCAGCTTAACTCTTTACCATTCTTGCATTTACTCAAAGTCGCTCCAATCGGATCGGAGCAGACGTACCAATCTACTCGAAGGTTAAATTAAGTCAGACGCAATTAGGTGTAACATCTATTAAGAGACGCACATACCCATACCAAATTTTGCAACAACCGAGCGTCTACGGAAATGGATTTTTTTCTCAGTTCAACTCAGGAATGTGACAACACCCAGTGGGAGCTGAATTTATAATAGGCTCAAAATCACCACAAATTCGCGACTCTATTTAAAATTTGAAAAGAAAAACCATCCTTAAACTACACGAAGTAATTAAGTTGTTTGAAACTAGCTAAGTCAGTCATACTTATTATAAGTTTCTGTTACAAAGAAATATTTCCCTGATTCCCTGATTTTCCAGGTTTTCAGTTAGTTGAAACCCTGTTAAATTCATCATAGACTTTTCGAAGCTTCAAATGCTTATCGGTAAGCAAATAATTGTTAATATTCATGGTAAAACATCGTAAGCACCGCTAGAATAACTGCAGACGCAGCTGCTTTGCTGAATATTCCACCCGATAGGTTTGGAAGTAGCTCGTTTCCGGAAACTAAGCAGTCTCTCCAAGAGCAACCCTTACTGCTGAGCATCCGTTGTTATCATCTTTATCGCTTCGAAATTGGTTGAATTAAAAGTAAACATTAACAGAATATTGGCATATTTAGCAAATGTATCCGAAACATGAATGCATTTCAGGATGACTCCAAACGCTTCGCCCCTAACCAGTGGATCTACTGTGGAGTTTTCGTAGTTATCAATCAGTAATATTCGGAGTAAATTGTGATTAGGGCGAAACTAGCTAAATGTAAACAACGGAGATTTTACTGCAATCAGATGGAGCAGGCAAAAATATACTAACAAATAACCACAAACATTTTTTTTTAAATGTTCCACTACCGAAAAATCCGTGCAAAGTGAAAGGTGAAACAAAATTTATTTCAAAACAAGCTTTAAAATAGATCACGCTCTTTCCTTAGTTTACGATAGTACAGGGCGCAATTTTGAAACATTTCAATGAACGGACGAAATCAATGTTGTTTACCAACAAAAGCGAAAATAGTAAAAGGCTCCATCTTTAGCTGAAACGTAAACACGGCGAAAAGTGAAGGGCGACACTTTGAAGAAAATCAAAACAAGGCGCATAGTATTGGGCGAATTGTTGTTGTCATACATGTTCGGGGCGATTTAATGAGGGCGTATTCTTAACGTTCCGCATTTACGGGCCAAATTATAAAAAATGACGAGTTTTAAGAAAAAAAATGAATAAAAAGGAGATTTTACACTCAACACAAATACAAATGGATCAATTTTACGATCATAAATGTAATTCCTATAGAAAATATATTGCTTAGCATTAAATTAAAAATTAAATTAATACGTTCAAACTTGCTCGGGTTTTCACCATTTGTTTACATTTTGCTAGTTTCGCCTAATCACAATTTGCTCCGGATATAACTACTGTTCGGTATCCGCATTAGGATCCAGTTGTGCCATAGAATGATTGATTTTCGAGATAGACTGCATGCTATGTTGCCTCCAACGTTAAGCAAATAACGGATGTGGCTTATAAAATTAATTTTCCAAGCATTGCTACTGAAAAACTTGCCTTCGTCTGGTTATTCGTATAGCTTCAATCCGTGATCAAGAAGTAATTTAAAATGTATGCAATAATTACGGGCAATGTTATTAATCTCTCGAATCTGCTGCTGAATTCTTGAATGGAATAGTAACATAAACACTAAGACCAGGGAGTCCCGAGGAAACATGCTCAATCTTTTGGCTCAGGAAGTACTAGACCTTCGGTCTCAAGTCAATTGCAGCACCCCTCGAAACGTAGCCTCTCATTAAACTCTGTCATGTTGATAAGGCGAATCAAAACAAACACAAACTTTGAGAGTTTCTTGTACGATAATGGGTTACGCTTATAGATGTACTAGGGACCAATGGGCTAGCCAAGTGATGAGCCAATTTAAGCTCGTTAGTTTTGTATTGACTAAAACCAGTTTGCATTTTAAATCTTTTTTAAATTTTAAATTTCAGACACGAAAATAAGACCAAAAGCTTACTCTGTGAAGTCAAAAAAATATAGGGTAAATGTTGGCTTCGGCACCCATTGACTGTTTTCGGCAACCAAAATTTAAACGTTAATTTCACCATGTTTTCCCATCAACGCACTTCCCTGAATGTGTCCAAACGATTGTTTAGCCTTTCAGCTTCAATCTGATTATATTTGAACGATCGAGCAATCCAGTAATGCTACATTTTTCTTCAAATAAAGCATACGCACTACAAAATGAGGTTGATTTCGAGTTGCCGATAATAGAACAGCTGGTTAACACGCAGTTCTAATGGGAAGGTTGCCGAAGAAAAAGAGACTGCCGACAATAGTCACACTCACCTGAGAAGTTTGGAGCGTTGTAAAAACGCTTTCAAAACGTTTTGAAAAATTCTGTCGATTGGAATGGATAGAGAAGCAAGCAGCAGATGAATGTAAACAAACAGACACATCATATATGTGCGTGACGCTGAGAAAATGCTAGTAGAAGTGCAGACGCTGCTTAGATTGACGAGAATACGTAAATTCCCCTATATTTGTTCAATAGTACTCATACACATTGAACAGCAGCGGCAACAAAAAATTACTATGAAATAAAAGCAAATGGGTCATCTCAAACTGAAATGTAAACACGGAGCTATTGTGGGCCAATTTTAATAAGGTCGTATTCAGAACGTATTGATGAAATCTCGCGTAACATTTGAAAAGGGCCTATGATCAAAATGTTAACAAACCGATTTTTGATACAATTCTGTAGCACTGGTAATTAGCTACCAGTCGTATAGGAATGTTCCGCATTATCGATAAAAATCATTAAAAATAACTTGATTTTAAAAACGGCCGATCCACGAAATTTTTCCAATCATTCATGCTAAAACGGCCTAACCTCGGGCCTAACATATATTTTTTTTCGTTCGATGAGGTTCCATTCATAAGCCTAGCGACGTAGAAGGGCCGATGATTGAAAAATTTCAAATCAAAGCTAGGCCCTACTGCTTGAGGCAGGGCCGATGATTTATTTGACGTTAAGAAAAGGCTTAGCAAAGGGCCTACAATTTATGATGACAAGCACAACGGCTTAACAAAAAGGGCCTAACCATTTAAAGATTCACAAAAAGGCTTATTACTGTGATATTAAATTTTTATCGATTTTCATGTATTTTTGAAAACGTTTCGCATGTTTTGGATGTTGTGTACTGAGATATAGTTACTATTGTTATTGTGAAAAATATAAACGCCTAAAATACTTCAATTTGTTTATATAGGAATTAAATACTGGCGAAAAAATTTACAATTCATTTTCTGGATTGTTTACATTTTGGACATAGGCCCTTTTCAAATGTTACGCGAGAAATCATAGAAATGATGAATTTTCAATGGTTTCTGATTTTGCGAGACAGAAGGGGGTCTTGAGAAAAGATGAATTTTCAATAGTAAACGAATAAAAAACCGAGTTTTAAGATCAACACAAATAAGAATAAATCAATTTCATAAGTCATATCCAGAACAACATGTGAAAAGGGCATACAAGCTTTTTGTAAACAAACCTTTGTAGGCCCTTTTCTCACCAACCGAGGGTCGCCCACGCAAACCAGCAATATCATCGGGAAGGGGAAAGTTTCCTCTACCCGGTGATGTTAAAGGTTTGCGTTGGTGTCATATGGGTGGCGAGAAAAGGGCATAAGAAGGTTTGTTTACAAAAAGCTTGTATGCCCTTTTCACATGTTGTTCTGGATATAAGATGTAAAAAATGCTAATAATTTATTTAGGAATAAGATTTGTAAGAGAAAACTTTATTAGCATTTTGTCCATTATATTGCCATTGCTAGTTTCGTCCTAATCACTTTGCTTACACAAACAACTAAGGTCAAAATCATCAATTACTCCGGAAAAATACGTCTTTGTAGCAGAGTTATTAACGGATGAGAAAATCGATTAATGTTACACTATGCCTTATGCCTTGTTCGGGTTGAAATGTTAATCGAGCAAAGTAATGTCAACAGCAGCTTCCTTTGTGGTCCGTACATTTATTGATCCCATATGAAATAGCTCCCGCAAATAACAAACAGGATAGTTTACTACTGGTTGGAAGCCTACTTTAGCCACTTGCGTAATTCGTAACACAATAACTTATAACGATAACATCTCATAAACGTAACGTGACAAAGAAAGCAGAAGTCCAGTAATAAGTCAGCATATCTACCTTTATATAGATAGGACACCGGGATTCGCTGCTGCTGCTGCTACTGTTGTAGTAAATCGTCGAAATACTACTCGCGGATAAAAGGATTAGGTCTTCCTTTATCTTGCTCCCCAAAACACGATCTGCATTGGCAGCTTATGGCAAAAACATCACGCAAATTCACACTTCCAAAAACACACGTACAGGACCAGAAAAACAACGCGAAAAAATCGAAACACACAATCCGCTCGCTAAACAGATTTTTTTTTTTGACTTTCTTGTCGCTCTCGAAAATCGTTTTGTTTTTGTTGTTGTTTGTTGTGTTATCACAGTCCAGAGAGAGCACACGCACACAAATGCACTCGCAAGCAGCGCAACGCAACGCACGAACTGTCAAAATAATTCGCTCTTTTCTCGCTCTCCGTGTGACAAACACCGAATTCTCTCACGGCGATCTTTTTTCCTTCCTTGCTGGCTGTTGTTTGCTTCGAAATTTGTTGTTCTTCTTCTCAGACACTGCTCTTCAGCGGAATTTTCTTCCGTTCATCGCGCATATTTTCTTGTGCTTTTTTTCGACCCACCAGCGGTCGAATTTTGGCCTGCTTTTGCTTGCTTCCTTCCCTTTCAATTCCGAACCACGATGGGTGTCACAAAACTTCCGTCAATTCCGTTGCAAATCACTTGATCGAGATTGAATCCAAACGATACACAATACACACGTACGATTTTGCGGCTATTACTCTATTTTTTTTTCGAGAAAGTATAGCGGAGAAAAGAAAAAAAAAACGACTCGGACGGAACCAAAATCCCGACTCTCTTCTAATCACCCTTTTTGACGTTTGGTCTGCTGCTGCTTCTTTTCTGGAAGTTCAACCACGACTCACCCCTTTTTTTGCTGCTTAGCTCTCACGGAGACGGAAACCCTTTTACGGCAAACGGGATGATTCGACAAACCACTCAACTGAAACTGTAGGAGCCAGGAATCCGGATTTTCTTCCTGCAGTCTCCCTTCAATGCGAGTGTATTCTTCCTCACACGGATACGGCCACGCGAATCTTCCTACTTCGTTTTCCTTTCCTTCCACAGAGAAATAAAACAGACAGTCGAGAGACGAACAAACTTTACTGGGGGCGAATGACGGATGAACCGAACCGAACTACACCATCAGCAGAGATCCAGGAGAAAAAGGCTGTCCCTTGCCTAAATTGATTTGCAATTTCCACAGATTCCCAGCGATTCTCAAATCGAGATTTCTACACTCCCGTATGGACAAACTCGTAACGCGTCAAACTACGGCGTTAAAGCTGCTGTTTCGTACCGATTAGCGCACAAATAGAACCGAGAATCAAGATTGCTGCGAATTTTTTCAACACCACGGCAGCCATATTCGATTTTTGTACGACGGAGCTGTCCCGTTCGCGATGAGTTTGTAGTGTCAGATTGCATAGTAGTGTGTGTGCGACCATTTCTCTCTCGCGTTTTTGCGAATTGGCGATGATTTCCAAAGAGAGTGTTGCCAGTTGGTGAGAAAGAGATGTCGAAATCGCAAACAGTGGGCCACACGGAGAAAAACTACAGTCGCTATTATTTACTCGATATTTACAGTCTGTCGGAGAGAATTTCAGGCATTAACTGCATGAGCTTACACTCATAAAATAAATCACATAACCAGTTGAAAATATCCAAGTGAATTTCACATAACTTTCACGTGATCCCATAATTGGAAATCGCACCACTAAATCACATGAACATTATGTGTCCAATGAAATCTATATGATTTCTCATATAGATTTTTTTTTGCTATGTGATATTCAGATAACAATCATTATTTTTGTTATTGGAAAAATATTATGTGCGTTCCTAATAGAAACTAAGTGAAATCTTTTTCAGTGTAAAACCCTCTACACATAAACAAAATCCATTGGCAAAATTACTATTTTGATGGTTTAAATTAAATACTCCCGAATTTGTAGATTTGAATATTCCTGAAATAGAAAAAGAAATGAAATATCAATGGAAATCAAATGTCAACACTATTAACATAACCTTTCAAGAAATAAACAAATTAATTCATTCAAAAAAAGATACGTCCGCACCAGGAATAGATGGTCTTTCTTTTTATTTACTTAAAAATATAAATCCAACAATGATGTGCAAAATAATAGAAATTTTGAATACAGTTTTTAATACAGGTTTAATTCCAGACGATTGGAGGGAAATAAAAATAATACCATTACTAAAACAAAATAAAAATCCAATGATTGCCAATTCCTATAGACCAATAGCCATGCTTTGTGTTTTATTAAAGCTCATTAATTTTATAGTTAAAAAACATTTAACAGAATACTTGGAATTACATCGTCTTTTACCAAGTTATTCTTTCGGATTCAAACAAAAAACATCTGCAATCAACTGTGTCAATGCATTAATATCACATATTAAACAAGCTAAGAGGGAAGGAGAAGTAGTAATAGCTACATTTTTAGATTTATCTAAAGCGTTCGATAACGTAAATATTGAAAAACTACTAGTTATATTAGATAACATTAATACACCTCCTGCAATAAGTAATTGGATTTACCAATACCTTAAAAAAAAGGAAAATTACATTAGAAATAGCAAATGGAACTAAAATAACAAGATTAGCTAATAGAGGTCTACCGCAAGGATGTCCATTATCTCCAGTCCTTTTCAATATTTATACAATGGGTTTACATAGCCTTTCAAAAAGCGATAGAATTTTTTTTCAATTTGCAGATGATTTCACAGCAATAGCTATAGCAAAAACATTAACACAAGCAACTGAAATAATGAACGAGTTCCTAATACAAGCAGTCTCATTTCTTAATGATCTAGAAATGGTAATCAATCCAGATAAATGTGCCACAGTAATCTTTACTCATAAATTTCATCCTTCCACAAATATTTCAATTAATAATCATCCTTTAGAAATAAAACCATTTCATATTTTTTAGGAATTTACATAGACCATAAACTAAACTATAATAAACACATTGAATTAACTGCATCAAAAGCAAAACGGAAACTTAATATTCTAAAAATGATAGCAAAAAGAAAAAATGGAGCACACCCAGAAACAGCTCTCAGAATAGCCAAGGCTATAGTACAACCTCATCTAGATTACGGAATAACCATTTCAGCAGGAACTTCAAAAACGACATTCGCCAAACTAGAAACAGTGCATCATCTATATATTAAAACAGCTATGAGATATTTAAAATCCACCCCAAATCAAGTAATCCTAGCAGAAACAGGCGAACTACCACTAAAATCAAGAGCAGAATATTTAGCTTTTAAGGAAATTACTAAAAACATTTACTACGAAAATAGCCCAATAGTACCTTTTCTTTATAAATTCATACTTTCTGATTATATACCTAAACACAGCTCTTTCTTAGAAAGAACGGCAAGCATAAATAATTTTCATTTATTACAATTAGCGAAACCTACTTCTTTTGAATCAACTTTTCATTTAACAATTAGGTCAGAGATTAAAAATCTTAAGAAAAAAAATCTCTCTACCAGAACTCAGAAACAAATAGTTCTTGATTTGATTAGATCACAATATTTACAATACTATCATATATACACAGATGGCTCTAAGTTGAAGGAAAGAACGGGATATGGATTTTATGATAGTCAAGAAAAAACCTCATATAGTGGAAGATTAAAATGTCAATTTTCAATCATGAATGCAGAACTAACAGCAATACTCAAAGCTATAGATTATATTATTGAAAAGAATATAAAAAGGTAGTTATATTTACAGATTCAAAAAGTGCTACAGAGTTACTAAAAAATATACCTTCAAAAGAAAACTACCTGGTATTTAAAATATTTAATAAAATTAACTCGCTACAGGAAAAAATTACAATTCAGTGGATTCCGGGGCATATTGGACTTTTAGGGAACGATAGGGCTGACTTAGCAGCAAAATTAGGTGCAAATAGATCCAAAATAGAAGATCTAAACTTAACGAAAGGAGACTTACAATTAAGCTTAAAAAATGAAACATACTGTTTATGGAATCAGGATTACAAAAACATATCAAAAGATAAAGGAAAATATCACTTCCTAATAAAGCAAAATGCTACATCAGAACCATGGTACAAAAACATGAACTTACCAACAGAACTGACGATAATCCTTTCTAGGATTAGAACAGGACATACTGCTACCAAAGACAGACTATACAGTTGGAGGTTGATTAATTCAGATAAATGTGAAAAGTGTGATGTCACAGAAAACCTACCACACGTCTTACACCATTGCACCAATTTTCAAGCAATAAGACAAAAATATCCAATCTTGATTCAATGTACTGATATTACTCCTATCCTGGCTGAAAATAATATTGATCAAATTAAACAGATAGCTGAATTTATAAGGGAGATAAAGGTCCATGTTTGAAATAAAATCGCGCGATAAACAAGAATATTTACAAACTTAACTTTGCTGAGCAACATACTATTCCCGCTACTGAAATAAGAGATTTTTCAAATTTCTTTCGATCGTCAATTAATTCACGTAAATGACAACTAAAGCTGTCAGAATGCAAAAACAAGACTTGGCTGAAATGGACCGAAAGGTCTGCGCCAAAGAGAGGAAAAAAAAAAATACTCCCAGATATTCCCTTACTTCTTTTCAAATTAAAACGTTTAGGTATGACAAATATACTTTTAAAATGAATTGGATCATACTTGACAGAAAGAATACAGATGGTCCACTTTAAAGAAAAAATGTCCTCGCCAGTTAATGTTACCTCGGGAGTTCCACAGGGATCTCATTTAGGACCTTTATTATTTATTTTATTTGTGGATGACGTGAAGTTTGTGTTGAATCGCTTAAATGTGCTTATATATGCTGACGATATGAAACTGTACACTGAAATTAATTATGTAGTAAATTGATCTTAAATCCAGCGTTTATTTCTACCATGCCATATAATGGTAAAATCCACTGACCATACTGTTATTATAATCGTATTATAGTAGAAAATCTTAAGCTAATAGCAAAAATGTCATAGTAGATTTCAGCATTTTTTGTAGTCCTCACAAATAAATTATTATGGTCAAATTTCTATTGATATGGTAACTTCAACAACATTATTTAAACATAGTGGATGCACAATTTTCATCCAACATCTCATTTTTACCATACACGCAGTTAAAATAAAAACATGTCACCGACAATTTTTTACCAACTACATTTTACGTTAGGATTACCATCTGCATAGTAATTTTCAGTGTACATCGAAAACTTGCACTTCGCCATTTTGATAGCATCAAATTTATTCCGAAGAGCTCCGCGCGTGGTTGAGATTTTTTTCAGTTTTGCTTGTTTTTGTGGAAAATTAAAAGTGTTTCATAATGATAAATGATAATCCGATCGAGGAAATAAGTATTATCGTGGATGACAGACTGGATGACCCAAACAATATTGACGGTAAAGCGTTAATCTAAAACGTTTCCGATTGGGATATCCGCGATGCTTTTTTTTTTCTTTGCAGAAAGAGATCACATTCCGGAACTGGAAGAAATCATTTCTGAATGGAAACTTGATCCGGCCATTTATGCTATCCTTGTCCGTAAGTATGAGTATGTGTGAACAAATAATACTATATTGAATGTGCAAAATCTTAATTTAGAGCATGGAATTTGTGTCCAATATCTCAAGCTAGTGGAAGACAGAGCCTTGGATGATATTTTTTCCGTAGCGAGATGGATTGGCCACAAATATGCACTGCGGCAAAAATTAGTTTCGTGGCCGGAAAGTGTTCTATATCATACAGCAACAACATCGAAAACCATCAATTCTATTCCGACCGAAGTTACAGCTCCTCCAGCTACGGTGCTATGCAAACAGAATCCACTCAAGCATCGATTGCTTCCCACCTCCGTGACAGCTGCGTTACTGGATGAGATCCTCAAGCGGAACGAAAAAGGAAAAATTGTCGTGAAACATTTTTTACAGAATAAGAAGCTCGATGCTGCTCACCGGAAATACTTAGCCCATACGGTCGTCGACTATTATATAGCCAACGACTTATATTTTCCTCTTCCGGATATGTCAAAATTTGCTCAACTAATTGCGGAAAGATTTCCAAACGAGCTAATCGTAAATTAACTTCGTTGCTCCAACCATTTCAACACACTTCTTATACGTTTTTTCATCTTTCGTGCAGGAAACGTACTTTAATCCCAGAGACGTGAAGGTACATAAGGAACACCCTACTGGTTTAATTTATGACCGCTTCCACAATCGTAACAAGAAGAAGTTCGTCCAATCCAGATCATCAAGTGACAAGGAAACAACGTTTTTTTATGCAAAATCGGTAGCTCTAAAACTTTCTCACGATGGTAAGTAAACCATATTTCTCGACAAGCAAGTGAAAAGGGCCAAGGAGCCACATGTAGACATCCGCTTCAAATGCCAATTTCCCATTTCACATGTTTGTTTCGGGTTTAAAAGATTTTAGTGATATCAGCAAAATCTTAAACACTTGATATTTTAAATTACAGAAATCGAAAAGCTTACTTCAGTAAAAAACTGGCTTCGTAACAATTCTGCCCCAGCAGAAGAAGTTCAACACAAGTGGAAAGAAACAATTTCATTGCGACTGCGATCAATTTTAAATGAGATTGATGTCGACAAAGGTGGTGTGCTTAGCGAGTGGCCAAGAATCCTGGACGATACTGGGTACTTGTTGGTAAGGAAAATTATACTGCACCAGTTTTAAATTACATTATTTTGTTACCTGTCTCATAACAAATATGTGTTGTATTCGCGAGATAGTATACCTCGTCTTATTATATGTCTACAGATCGATTCGGATTTTGCTGAACTGTTTGGTAATCCAGATAAGTTATTCAACAACTGGGATTTTTTTTCACAAAAATTCCTTGACTACGTTCGAAACAACGACATCAAAGACGATTTTTCAAGACAATTACTAACTGCGCTGGACGAATCCGCCAAAGTTAGTTACAAGAATGTCGTCAACGAGCTTAGATAGCTCATATTTATACCCTCCGTATTTTCTCCTCGTTTATCTAGCACTGCTTGCTTTGCCAGTATTTCACCTCACATCTGTCATGCTTCACGTTAATTTAGTTCAACTCAAATGGAGTGTATCATTACTTGACACAACTCTCAAGTTTTTATATATTTATTTTAATATTATTATTTCACACCAACTATATCCACCACAGGTATGAAGTAACTTAGCAACGTACATAGGACGAAAATAACTAATAATATTGTTTCATTATAGACGGCCGGGATTTCATCGTATGTATGGTATTCCAAGCACTCATCAAACCAACACGGACTTCCACACGTAAATTACCCACAATATTGCAGGCGCAAACTGATGTCTGTTGTATATGCGCAACCCACGAGGAATACTTAAGTGAGTGGCGTTCACTACGTCAAGAGTTTGAGACAGCAAAACTTCAACTCCCACCTCGTATCTTCATTGTTGGAAGTTTCGACGAAATTGAAGGATTCTACGTTGTGACAGGAAAAATTGAGTACAAACTTCCAACGTTTCTTCGTTGCCTGGATGTCATTGTTAAGCTGAAGTACGTGCTGAACTACCAATTTCCTGAGAGCTGTGAGTTATTCTGGTGCTTCGTGACCAGATTCTTTTACAATATCGACTACAAAAGAAAATCGAAAAACAATCAACTTCTACAATTGATCGCCTATCTGGAAACTGGAGATAATGGATTGTCATTTGTGCCGTAACTCGTTTCCCGCACTCAATATCCTATTACACCACATTCGGATAGAGCATGGGGCTCCTTCCATTTCTAATTTCAAGTGTACAGCATGCAAACCAGCCGCTCAGTTCAAGGATATCTACCGGTTCAAACGGCATGTCAAATTTCGACATTCTGCCTTATTTGAAAGCCCCAGCACACCAATTGAAACACACGAGGAAATCCATAACAACGAATCCAGCACGATTCCAGAGGAACGTTGTTTTCAAAGAGAAACAACTGAAGATACATTCAATGATGCGGGTAGCAGTATCGAAAAACTTGAGAAAGCTAGTTGTAGAGAAGAAGACATTTTAGATATAAGAAGTAGGTTAAGAGAAGATTTTCTAAGCTTTACTATGAATTTATACAGTAAGAAAAATTTGAGCAGGAAAGATGTAATTGAATTACAGCATAATATTACTGAACATATTGTTATGCCAATCATTAACACTCTATGCAAAATAGCATGTATACCCGATGATCCACAGTATCTAGATTTAGTCAACGACATCCGTGATCCATTTAATTTCATATGCACTGAGCAAAGATTCAATAGTCAGCTTCAACATTTGAATCTTAGACAGGCTCCTCAAGTTATAACTTTTAAGGACAATGACTCCAATATTGTATCGAAAGGGTGTCTTACACCTATCAAATTTCAAATCAAAACGTTTTTTGAAACTGGAACAATTTTTAAGGAAACAATGCAGAATATGACCAGATTAGAACAGAACGATGAGATATCAAATGTTATTAATGGCACCCTGTGGCAAACAGTAAAACCAATGTACGCCAATCAAATAGTTATTCCATATTTTTTATTTTCTGATGAAGCAGAAATGAACGACGCAATTGGTGCTCATTCGGGAACACACAAAGTATGTGGACTTTACTACAGTTTTCCGACTATTCCTTCTCATTATCTGTCACGTTTGAGTTGCATATTCATCGCAGGATTTATAAAAGCGTCCGACATTCTAGAACGAGGACCATCAGAGGCTTTGGTTGAACTAATTAATGTTTTAATTGATCTTGAACAAAATGGCGTGAATTTGAACGTAGAAAATCGTGTAGTAAGGGTCTATTTTGTGCTGATGGGAATTCTGGGAGATAATTTAGGTATCAACATGTTGATGGGATACGTAACGTCATTCAGTGCCCTTTTCTACTGCCGATTTTGCAGCCTAAATAAGTACGATTGTCAGAAATCCATCAAATTAAACTCAAATTTGAATCGAACAAAGGAAACGTATAAAAAAGATTTAACTAAAAGTTGTAAAGATACGGGAATTAAAGAAGCATGTGGTTTTAATAGATTACAGAACTACCATGCTGGAGAGTTTGCTATAGTTGATGTGATGCATGATTTTTATTCTCATGGTATCTGCGCCTACGACCTTTCCTTTGTTTTTGATTATATGATTCTAACGCTAAAAATTTCTTTGGATTTAATTAATTATCGTTTAAAAATGTTCAATTACGGGAACACTGAGAAACGAAATACTTTTAAGGCTATTACTAAACATCAACTAAAATCATCATCATTTAAAATTACTGCTAGAGAAATGATGCTCCTTGTTCGCTATTTCCCTTTAATATTTGGAGATTTAGTTCCACAAAATGATAGAGTCTGGAATTTTATGTTGTCATTAGTAGAATTGGCTGATATGGTTACATTTCCAAGCTATGATTTTGAGATGTTGGATGTATTAGCAGAGCAAATTAAATATCACCATACACTATATCAGAAGCTATTTAACACGACCTTGAAACCAAAATATCATATACTATAACATTACATCGAAGTAATCAAGAAAGTAGGACCTCCTAGATATACTTGGAGTTTTCGGTTCGAGGCTATGCATCAGTTATTCAAACAGTACTGTCGAAACATAACATCACGCCGAAATATATGCTTGACTTTATGTATTAAAGCTAATCTCTTCTTCATGCAGAATATGAAAAACTGGTCTGAACTAGAGTCGGTGTATAATGAGTCACGCCAAGAGTGAAGCCAAGTCTACCTATTGAACTGTCAAACCGGCTACCTATCGTGCAAAGTAAATAAACATTACGATGCTATGAAAGATCCACGAAAGGTATTGCAATATAATATAAAATATAATCGAAAAAATGAGCATAAACACGCAGTGAGCGTTAAATTGTCATGGGATACGCTCGGTAATGATTAGTAATGAGAATTTCTACTATTTTTTGTTCAGATTATTTGTCAAAATCACTGATATAATGATTTACTACAGCCGCAATATTTTTTCTCTCGCTAGAAGTCATTTGAAGTTGTTGTAGAAGTCCTCTGTTGCCAAGTGAAAAGAATTGGAATGTTTCGAAAACCGTGATGCAAGTTCAACTGTTTTTCTCTTGGCGTGACTCATTATACACCGACTCTAGTCTGAACAACACATTTCATTTAAGAACGCTATACGTTTGAATGTTTCGGAATTGCCATACTACACTTCAATAAAATCACCAGTAAACTTGCCATCTACTTTTTTCCATGCCTGTAGAGAAATATCGTACAAAGGCACAGAATACAAAATTGGTCATTTTGTTACAAAATTGGTCATTTTGTTACAAAATCTGAAAATAACGTGCGAAGTGTCAAATTATTTGAAATTAAAGACTTGCTTGCTTACAACGATCAGTTATTTATAGCATGCCAGACATGGGAAGTAGGAGACTATTCGTACCATTTTGCATCGTTTGAAATTTTTGATAGCGTCCCAGAATTTCAGATTCTGATTGTGGATCAATTTGATGGACCACCGATACATGTATATAATGTAGGATTAAGAAAGTTCATTAGACTTAAGAAACTTTTTGTATAAATACGCAAATAAACAATGTAACAAAAACATGACGTTTTAATTCACCAAAAATAGAATGGAAGAAACCATGGTAAAAAAAACGTAGTCAGCATGGTACAAACACAATACAATATGGTTAGTACTACTATTAACCAAAGAAACAGATGATTACATGTATTCTCAGTGGAAAAATATTGATAGTGGAAAGTACTATTGCATTTGCCCTTCTGAATGGTTAAAAATACTGCACGGTAAAATATATGGTTAAAACTACTACGCCATACAATTTTTTGCAAAATGGTACAATTTACTATGCTCGTGGTCAATGTAAGCAATTTATATTATCAGAAAAAAAACATAGGTGCCTTGCGCTTAATTTAACCCCTCCATATGGTAATTAATACCACACATTTTCTTTTAGTGTACATGGAAATCTTTAACAATAATGATTTGCTACATTTTAAAAATGAAATTGATGTTTTCTACAATTGGTGCGTTAAAAGTCTGCTGGATATTAATGTTAAAAAATGCAATATTATATCATATTCCAGAAAACACACTACTCTAGATTTTACATGTACTCTAGGAAACCAGCTGGTTGTACACGGTAAGAAAAAAGTACCCAACGACCAGTTCACTTTTACCTACTTTTGACTAGTTTGTCTCCTTTTCTCCTTCTAATGTTGTCAAAAACAGAGGAGCAAAACCACCCAACAGGGGTAGTAAAGTGTGGGAACCCAACGTTGAGTATAATCATATTTACCTACTATTGGGTACAACTAACTTACTTTTGGTTAAAAAGCCAGTGGAAAATTCCATACGAACTGCACACAAGTACTTTGACCCGCTTTACCTACTTTTGGGTTCCTGCACTATAGTGCCGAGATGAGTGAAAATAACTTAATTTTGGGTACTTTTTTCTGCGATAAAATTAGGGACTTATGAGTAATTCTTGACTCGAAGTTGACATTTGTAGATCATGTGAATACCACAATTCACAAAGCAAATAATATGTTGGGATTCAAAAAAAGATTTAGTTATCATTTTAAAGACCCATATACCTACCATCAAAACACTATATAGCTTACGTGAGATCAATTCTCGAATATTGCAGTGTGGTTTAGGCTCCATACCATGAAACTTATATAAATCGTATGGAATCAGTTCAAAAACAGTTTTTGTTATTTGCTCTTAGGAAACTAGGCTGGACCTCTTTTCCCCTTCCTTCTTATGAGTCCCGTTGCATGTTGATAAACATTGAAACACTTAAGAAACGAAGAGAAATTTCCATGATTTCCTTTGTCAATGATATTATCTCACAACGCGTAAATTCAGAAAAAAAATATTAGCAAGATTAAATTTGTGTATGTATTTCAACTGTCACCTCACAGAACGAATTATGGTAAAAATGGACCAATTAATAGAATGATGAGAGTTTATAATAATTATTGTGAGCATATAGATCTAACGATGTCTAAACATACAGTAAGGAGAACACTAACTGCTAGGATTTCATCTCGTTAAGTTTAAAACAATTTTTATTTTTTAGATATTTGTATATGCAGTCTACATTTACTGACAATTTCAAATAAAACGTATGTTTTAAAATAGCATTTAAGGCAACAGCACTATTGTAAAACGGTCTACACTGATTGACGACAAATAAATAAATAAATAGAATTGTGCAGAAACGAAATTCATTTAATTTTACTATTTTTTCTATCAAAACTACTATCAACACTACTATGCCGTTTGAGTTAGCATAGTAGTTTTGACAGAATGGTATTAAATTTGTTTATATTTATAGTCAACTAAACTGAAATCATGGTAGAATTAACGGCCGAGGGGGCAGCAAAACCAAAAAATTACCTTGCATACGGGGGGTATTCATTGGATGAAAGGGACCGTGAAAGAGGACACTAAAATAGAATGTTTTTCTTCAGACAGTTTCATCTTAGTATTCTTCTTTGTTTATATCCCGTTCACATTACAGCATATATCACGTAAATAGGCTGTCTTGCAATGAGCACTCATACATAGGATTTCCAGTGCAAACTAGATGTATGAGTGCTCATTACAAGACAGCGTATATCACGTAATATACGCTGTAATGTGAACGGGGTATTAAGCGTAGTTATAGAGGTTATACTGAAAATAA